TTAGCTTCTCTGTAAGAAGCTCTTCATTATGCAGTACTCATCTGTTTTCAGGGTGGGCACATTCCTTTCACTGTGGAGGGGATGGGAGGGTTGAATAGTCCCTGATCTTATAATTTAGAATTGTTACCATACGTAAGCTTGGAAATTTTAGGTCTGGCACTTACTAACTAATGTTAAAAGGTAGAGAATTCATTGTTGTGTGTATCATTATCGCTAAATTACTGCTGCATAATAGCCTTTTCATTGTGTATTTTGTCTGTCCTGTAGCTTTTGGTGAATACTGTCTGGAGGCATTTGAGGTTAAAAAGTTCAGTAGGACTTGTTTTTTAAAAAAATTCTACTGTAGGGAATGTTTGTGTATGATAGAATAAAAAGTGTAAGGGGAATCCTAGAATCGTAGAACAGTTAGGGTTGAAAAGGACCTTAAGATCGTCTAGGTCCAACCCCCCTACCATGGGACACCATGCACTAAACCATATCACCCGAGGCTTGTTCCAGCCCGGCTTCGAACATTGCCAGGGATGGAGCATTTACAACATCCTTGGGCAACCTGTTCCAGTGCCTGACCACCCTTGTGGTAAAGAACTTCGTATCTAACCTAACCTTCCTGTTTAAGTTTAAACCTGTTATCCCTTGTCCTGTCGCTACAGTCCCTATTGAAGAGTCCTTCTCCAGCATCCCTGAGTTTCACAGTATAAGCCTTATTTTTGAGACTCGGCATATGCAGCTCCTTGTCTTCCACTCCCCTAAGAGAAATACAGCTGTTTATTACCAGAAAGGATGCTGTATGAACTGGACAACTAAAAAGCATTCCATTGGTGTGATTTGGGCTGTCTGTCCTGGGTTCAGCAGTAGCAGTCATTTTTCTCCTTCTCAGTAGCTGGTACAGTGCTGTGTTTTTGACTTTCGGCCTGGGAACAGTGCTGATAACACCAGTGTTTTTAGTTGCTGCTCAGTAATGTTTACTGTGACCAAGGACTTTCTCAGTCTCATGCTCTGCCAGGGAGGAGGGGAAGTCAAGAGGAAGCAGAGACGGGACACCTGACCCAAACTAACCAAAGAAGTGTTCTATACCACAGCACGTCATACCCACTATATAAACTGGGAGCAGTTACCTGGAAAGGCTAGATCCTTGCTCGGGTAGGGCTGGGTATTGGTCAGCAGGTGGTGAGCAGTTGTATTCTCTTCCCTTATTATTTCCCTTCTCATTATTATTATTATTGGTGGTAGAAGTAGTGGTTTTGTGTTATACCTCAGTTACTGGACTGCTCTTATCTCAACCTGTGGGAGTTACATTCTTTCAATTCAGCTCCCCATCCCTCCGGGAGCAGGGAGGAGCAAGTGGGGGGAGTGAGCAGGCGTGCTGCATGGCTGACTAGGCTTAAACCATGACACTGTCTTAGCCTGTCCTAATCTCTTTTGGAGAAACAGTAAAGAAGCCCTCAACCTTTCTGCTTCTAGTGAGGAAGCTGCACCTGTTTGGGATTAAAATCCTTGATTATTTTAAAGTAGGTGCCATTTAAGTCAGGATTTGGAAATGCTGTGCCCCATATTTGTCTGCTATATTATTTAATAGCTTCTTTAAGATGTTACTTAACACTTGTCTTTGGTGGAGTAGTGCTAGAACCTAGTAAATGTACCTGTATGTTATGCTGGATAAATTAGTCTGTGGTTGTTGGATTTCTATTCAGCAGGAATACAAAAGATAAGGCATGGGGTAGCTTCCAAGTCTGAATTCTCATTGCTTGCATTTTCTGCTCCTTTCATTAGTGTAAGAAGAAGAAAGCTTTTTGCTGTTGAGATATGACGCTGAGAAGATGAACTTCTCTTACGCTCTTGTTTTCCTGTGGTCCTAGAACTGAGGAGGCTGTGTGGAAGTCCTACACTTATAACTCACTTCAGTACTTGTTTGAAGGGCTGGGGTCCTAGTTAATCCGGAACTGAGCCTGATAAATGGCAATTTGGTGGTGGTATCTCTTTGATGTGAACAAATCTCTCTCAAGTGAATTATGTAGCTCCTCTTCCATCTTCTGTTTTCTAGAAGATGGCAATGGTTAGAAATATTTTGTTGTTGTTTGTTTTAATGCTGCTAGCTCTGGTTGGAATTAGAAGATCTTCAGGTGAGGATTTATTGGTCTGGGCATAGTGTTGCAGGAATACTTACGTCACATACAAAGTGGTCAGCTGCCTTGCCTTACTTTGGCAAAGCCTAGTGGTTGCCACCATTTCATTTTGGGCACTTCAGCTCTGCAACATGGTAAGAGAACTTTAATTTTCCCTGTGGTCACCAGGCCAGGAAAATGTGGGGTGTTGGTGGTGTGGTTTATTTTTTTGTTGTTGTTTCTTTTTTTTTTTTTGTGGGTTTGGGTTGTTTGGTGGTTTTGGTTGTTTCGTTTTCTGTTTTGTTTGTTTTTCCTTGCCTTCTATTTGCAATGGTAAATTTTAAAGCTAGTTCTTATCTGTCTCACGCGGTAGTCTCAGGAATAAATTGTGATGGTGAACAGAAAGTGTGGTGGTGCTTTTTACCACAGTAGTGGTAATTAAGACTGATGTTGTGAGGTTAATGCTGTCATACCGCAACCAAGGCATGAGAGGGATTCTTCTGCCTTAGGCTTCTAGGAACTGATCTTATGGTACAGTGAGTGGTTACAGTGGCAGCTTTCTGCTTGTACAGTTGAAGTACTTTGTTTCTGCTTTAAGGAGAATAGGTATTTAAAGTAAAAGTTGAAGGCCTCACATAGCACAAGTAGTTGATTAATCTGGCCGTATGATTGAAGAACACAGATTATCTTCAGCTTTCATCCCCTCCTTGCCCTTTTTCTCTGCTGAAACTGACTATTCTGATAGTCTCAATGTGTGGTAATGCTGCAGGAAAAAGTAAAATTAATCTTGTAAGAAAACAAAGTACCCAAAGATGCTATGAGAGATGCGAGTCTATTTATGTTAAAGGACTGTGTTACTCATTAATTTGATTTAGATTTCTGGTAGTTAAGATTTCTGTAATATGTCTTGTACAATGCTGAATAGTTTTTCTGGTGTATATTGATACAGTTTCTTCTGTGGCCATAAGTGATACAAAGGTGGAGTTATATTAAATTAGGTTTCCAGTTTCTTTGAAATGTTGGAATGGTGATTTTCTGCACCACGGTGGTAGTTTTCTTCTGAAATATGGAAGTAGCATCTTAATTAATCTTCTTGGTGATGTGTGCAAGTTGTCTAAGCAGATCCCAACAAGGAAATCCATTATTTGTTTTGGGATTCTTTTATGGTGTTTGGACAGTTCCGAGTAGTCCAGGGAAAAAAAAAGCGCAGGATATTAAATTCTTGTTAATGTGATGCTGAACTTGTGATACTGCTCTGACTGACACATTCAAAAGTAAATACAAGTCTCATAGCTGCAAGTTCATTGTTTGTTTTTTTTTTTTTCTGTGTGTACTACACAAGTAGGCTCAGTTGCTTCAAAAATTAGATTATATGTGGTAATGGAATGACTGATAGAATGCATTGTAAACCTGTCATTAGTCAAATCTGCTGCTTTAATGGCACTATCTCTTCAGATTACTTGGAGTCTACTTTTCAGAATTAGGAAGCAGCATGAGGTTTTGGAGAGTGTTGCTTTTCAGCAGCTGATTTTGATTCATAATTCTGAGATTTTCAAAATCCAGGAGTTGGAGGAAAATCTAATTAAGTCGGTATTTTGGAAATCCTCTCATAGACCCTGTTTAGCTTCAAAATATCAAGACACTTCAGGCAAGAACAAGCTTGCATTCAAACCAGTATTGAATTGTCATTAATGGCTAGCAAATATGGGTGACCTGTGTCAGTCATTTTACAATCTTTCGGTGCTGTCTTATGAAATACCACAGAACCCTGTTGATAGTGACTATTACAACATATTTGTATCTGGAGTTTTACTCTTTAAGTACCAGAAAACCCAGATAGGTCATCTGGGCAACCAACATGAGAAAAATACCAAGTGAATAAGTTATATTTGTTTATATCCTATGACTTTGAGACAAAAAATTACTTATTTCAAAGTAGTATCAAGGCTCTTCTTAGTTGTGAGCAAGTAAATCCTAAGCATGTTTTTTTCTTCTCACTCTCTTGCAAATCTTAGAGCTTGAAATACCTCTTGTTAGGACCAAAGGCTTCTGAAGTTGAACAAATATTATGAACACTCTGTTTGGATATAGGGGAAACTGCTAATTTAGGAGTAGCATCTTGGCAGATTATTTTGATAACCATCTGTATGTGGTGGTGGTGTGTTGCCACCTGTTCAAGTAGTGTTGCCAGAGTTGGGTTTAGGATCTGTTAGAGCTACAGTAGCAGAGGCCTAGGCAGACAGGATTTTGAAAATTTGAGGGTGTTTCTGGTTTTGCCTTTCCTGCACTTCCTTTGTAACCATAATGTAATCTTACAGAGAATACCAGGATAAGTGGGAATGAGGATTTTAGGAACTTGGTTGAGAGGGTGTAGCTACTTTTTCCATGCCATTGGAGGAACAAGTGTTGACCTGTGAGGTAGAAGAAGAATGTGAAGAAATGCCCATGGAACAAAAATGGGCATTTTAGTGTTGTGATGGTAGAAGCTAGAAGCTTACCTCTCCAGTCATAGGAAAGAAATCCTCTCCTGTTGTATACTTGAACTTCAAATTAAAATGCAGGATTGGAATAATAACTAAGGATTTGTGTATTGTTGTTTAGTGGTGTTTTTTGTGTGTGTGTGTGTTTTTTTTTTTTTTGTGGGTTTTTTTTTTTCTAAACTGTAGCAGGGGCTTGTAATAGGTATGTCCTTATATAAGTAGGAAGCTTGTGCACGTTTGCTTAGGCGGTGTAAATGTTTAAAGTGTTTCACATAGGCTTTGGTAGTGGTTAATGTAATTACTTTTTATGGTTTTGTATATTTAGGACTCTCCTGTCTTCCTGTTCCCTTAGAAGAAAACAATGTGTCCTATATTAGCTGGAAACACTGTCACTTGTTTCTTCCTTGCACACTCACAGAAGGCCACAAAGAAAACTGACAAACCCAGGCCAGAGGAGAAGGATGACCTAGACGTAACAGAGATGAGTAATGAAGATCTTCAAGAGCAACTTGTGAAGTATGGACTAAATCCTGGCCCAATTGTTGGTAGGTCAAGTGGTGCTAGCAGATGTTGATCTGTTCAACATATTTCCCAGTAAATCTCAGTTCTGCGTCTTCTAAGCTTATCTGATACAGTTACTTAAGTTTAATACCAATACTGTTGCAGTCCTGCTTTCCACTTAAGATGTTTTCATTGAACTATTTACATTGAGAAGACTTGAAACATTTAATTGTAGGCAAGTCTGCAGTTCATTCCTCCTCCCAGAAATATTCCAGCTTCTGTTCCAAAGCTGTGTAACTCTTAGTTAACTTAATTACCCCAGTGCTGAAGTTTTTCTGATAACAGAGGTGGAGATCTGCAGCCTGCTAAAAAAGAAAATAAATCTTACTTAATAACCTTATAGTATTGAGAGCAGAATGAGAATGTGGAACTTCACCCATCCCTAGAGCATTTCCTACTTTCTGCATTGTGTAGTAATGTTTTCTTCTGCTATTTTTTCTCTTTTTTTTTTTTTTCCTCCCCCCCTCCTTGAAACTAATGTTCTGTCTTGCATGATAACCTACATCAGAACTTCTTATCCCAGCTTAATCCCTTGCCTTGGGCACTCATCTGTGATGTGGGATCAAAGCTCCTTACCTTTCAGATTGTTCACTAGCTTAATGGCAAGGGAATTCCACAACCCTTTTAAAAAAAAAGGGGGGGGGGGGAGTAAAGGCTGCTGTAACATGCTGAGCCTCCTGTGGATGTTCTTGGGATCCTGGGTGAATGGAAATGACAGTGGTAGAGCCTGGAATTGTGTGTGTATTTTAAGTCTTATGCATAATACTATGTTAGCTGTTACTGCATGCCTTCCCATTCAATTTATTCCTCTTGGATAGCACTCAAATCTTCTGAAAATTTGAGTACACACAGAGTCCACTGGAAAGATGTTAAAATTTTAAGTAAAAGCTTTGTTCTTGGAGGGCATGGATTCTGTTTCTTGTAGTCTGCCTCTTCCTCTTGCCTGAAGCCTTCTTCTGTTAGGCTTTTCTGCAGCTAACATCTCAGGCAAGAGTCACCTTTATAGATTATTGCCAGCATGGTCCTGACATGGAAGTATATGCTAAACTTGATACGTTTTAATCTTAAACAGCTCTCAGATCAAGTGAGCCAACCTGATGGCTAGATGTAGCAAACAGGAAGTTCTGTTGCTGTTAATTGCATCATCTGTGGTGCTTACTTGGCTTAATTTGGCAAAAGGAAAAGGTTAAACTAAGGGGAAAGGGGCATTAATTACAGGGTAAAATAATTTGGAGGATAATAGTGGAATATGCATGGAAACCGTTGTCCTTGCAGTGTCATTCCCACAATTTTTTATATTTGTTTGTGAGAGCATAACCACTTGTGTATTACAACATATGAAATAAAATATCTAAGGAGCAGGTAAGTTCCCTTTACATAGGTAAATGCTTGTAACTTTCAGTGTACTAACAGGTCTAAGTTTATCTTAACAATTCTCTTAAACCAAAAAGCTAGAAGCTTAGAGATAGCGTTATCTACCCAGAGGTATATGCTTTTCGCCATACAGACTGATCAGAAATACAAAGCCTTGTGCTTTCAAAGATCCCAAAGGAATACATAACACCCAGGTTCTTGCAGTCAAGTCAGGAAAGGTGATAAACTATCTTTAGCATATATCCTTTCTTGTTTATAGCTACTACTAGGAAACTTTATGAGAAAAAACTGTTGAAACTGATGGAGCAAGACCCAGAACCAAAGGCACCTGTACCTCTCCCAGCAATTTCTTCAGCTACAGAGAATACTAGGCAGAATGGAAGTAATGATTCTGACCAGTACAGTGACAGTGAAGAAGGTAAGATTTAAGTGGAACTTGGTTATGAACTATTCAAATTATACATCAATAATACTTGCAGTAGAAGAAATATCTAAAGAGGGCATGACCCTGCTGTTTGGTGAGGCTTACTGCTGTAGACCACTTGAGTCATGTAATTAATCACGCAGTACTAGCACAGTGATCGAGTTCTGGAAAAGGAAACTTCTGCTACTAAACTGTTCCCTTCTGTCCATTTTCTGTGGATTGGAGCCTGTAAATCTGATGGGGAGGAGAACTGCATAGTAATTGTTCTAGTGTCCTTTGCACTTCATCATTAAATGCAGTTTTGTCTTAAGGTGCTCTCAGTAGCTATTTACTATTGGATAGTATATGAATGTGTATTAAATTTCTGTACTTTTTTGTTTTAATGTCTGTCATGTACGACTCAATCCCTTTTATGCTCTATTTGTTATGGGCTTAGTTTGTGGTGGGTTGGTTGATCTTGGATGCGTTTTTTGTGATTTTAATACTAAGTTTATATGAAAAAGGTATAGGGGTGGGGGAAATGGAACTTAAACTCCACACCATCATGCTTCTTATATAAAAACAGGTTTTAAAGAGTGTATTGAATGGAATGTTAGAAGATGCTTATTTCATGTGGTTTGTTTTTGGGGGTGTTGGGTTTTTTGTTGTTTCTACAGAACTTCTATGGAGACAGGACAGAAGGGGTTGAAATACAACTAGGAACTCAATGGATTTCTCTTGTGTATTTGGGCTTGGTTTTGAACTTAGCCCTTGCGCTTTCAAAGCAGGGAGAGATGTTAAAGATTTATTTATTTACTTATTTTTAGCACAGCTGAGAGCCCAGTCACAGCTGACGGCCTTCTCCTTCTACTTACACATGCTTTATCTAATTACCAAGTTCAAACACTGGGGATGGGGGGTGAGGGGAACATGGCATAGATACACAAAAAACCAAGCCAGAACCAACCAAACACTTCCTCCCTGTCAAAAATTAAACAGAACTTTTCTATAAATAGACTCTAGATATGTTGGTATATTAGAATTTTAGAAAGGGGTGGTAATAATACATCCTGTTACTGGTAAGATGACTGCTAACCACTTGCCCTTCTGCATCAAAAATGAGCTTTATATAAAAGGACCTGTTTTAAAGGAAATAAAAACTACCAACCTAAATTATGTTGAAAAGCTTCAATACCCTTACTACAATTAATAGTATAATGGTATTTTGGTTAAAGTATTTGCAGCTTGATACCAGTTTGTAAATGGAACTGCTGGATTGGCCAAAGCTTATCTGAAATGTAACTTTTTATAACAAAACTGAAGTACTTGGGTCAGTGTTTTAAATTATTTTTAATAATTTCAATGTCAAATGTCTCTTCTACATTCAGTGAACAAACTTACCTCTTCCTCAAGCTTTTTAGGAAAGTGGTAACTCATAAAAGAGTTATGTTGCTTCTTAAAATTTATTTTATTGAAATAAAATTGGTTTAAACTAGTACAACAACCAGTAGAAACTAATTATATTAAAATTGATTACAGATCCGAAGACTGAACTGAGGCTTGAGAAGAGAGAACCATTGAAAGCCAGGACAAAGACTCCAGTAGCACTCAGACAAAGAAGAGTTGTTGAACACAACCAGGTATGTTTAATTTAGTGGTGTCTGGAACAGCTACTAACTGCAGGTGACATGCTCAATAAACACCTTAATGCTTTTAACATAATCACATTTGACTTAGTATGCTCTGCTGTTTTTTGAAAGTTCTTCCAGAAAGCCTATTCTAGTGCAGCATAAAAATCTTGTGAGGTGACTGTAGCTGCTGGGTTTAGCCTGCCCGATAATGTTCAAAATTAGGTTCTACTAAAAGCTGTGCTACCGTAGGTGGCCAGTCAGACTAACCTCCTTGAAAAAAATAATAGGCAACCATAACATGCAAAAGAAAAGTTTAGAAAAAGGTTAGTTTTGGCTTTTTCTTTTTTTAAATGTATGTATATGTATTTAAAAAAATCATTTATATCTGTCTGGTTTGATATCTATACATATATGTATGCATTTTAAATACATCTGTTTAATGTTTCTAATACATGAAGTAAGGTACTTCCGTATATGCCTATATATAGAAGCATGCGTATGTGTATACACATGCATTAGCTATCTGTTTTTTTTCCTCAGCTGTGCTTGTGGCAGCAGTACTAGTGTAGCTATTAATTGTTGGAAAGCTTCTCCTAAGAAGAATAATAATAACAAGTTTAAACCTCACTGTATGTGCCAACTGTCCTTATGAATAATACTAGTTCTGTTGTGGTGAAAAAGGAATTTTACAGAAGTACCTCAGGTTTTCAAACTGTTGGCTGAATACTGAATTTGGTAGTTGGTGACTGGTGTGTTCTTGTGATATGACAGTGTCACTAAACGCCCTGTTCCTCAGCTTAGGTTACCTAGGATCTTTACAGTTTTACTCATCTGACCAGTAAGTAGTGGAATTGTGCTGCAGTAGAAGGCTTGTCTAGAAAACATTTAGTGACTCAAAATTTTACCTGTTAATAGCTTGATGTATTTTAGCAGAACAGTGATTTTCCTCACTACTTTATTCTAAATGCCAGATGCTTCCTTTTTAGATACTGTGTTTGTATGTATAAGCATGCTTTTGCTATTGGATGTCTCTTAAAGCAGGTAGTATGTTGTGGTGTGAGCTTGGGTAATGGAGTGCAGTTACAGAGATCTGTAACTAGTTCTCATTAATTGGATTTTTAGGGTACAAGCTGAACAGATCTTACCTCTATGAATCAAAGCACACAGTTCAGCACACAAAATATTACTTAATTTATTCAGGCAATTTCTGCTCATGATGGTCTTTAGAATAGGCATCTGAATCTTGTATTTTAAGGATTACTCTTCTAAATCTCTGTTCACGCAGAAGTCCCTGCCAGCCTCAGTGTAACACAGGTATTTAATTTAGCTGTCAACAAAGAAATCTTCCTAGTCTTCAGGAACCTACTTACAGAATAAAAGGGAAGAGATAGTTACGTATTTTTGTGAAATTTTCTAATGATGAGTGCCTTCTTAAGTTTTTGTCATCTAATTTCACTGTAATAACATGAGGTCATTAATGTGTTTTATCCTGCAATTTATTACATGTGCAGTATTTTAGTTACCAGAAGTTAATAGAAGGAGTATCATTTCATTAGTGAAAAAAAATCTAATTTCACAATTATGCCCAATTCTTCAGGAACTCTTAAACGTAGCTTGTCAAACCCTTCACCTTTCAACGAACCAAGCAAACAAGAAAATAAAAGTGACTAACAAAGAATTACATCTGCCTGAAGCCAAGAACAACTTAATGCTTTTGGTTAGCAAATGCATAATGCCTCAGTGTCCAGCTGGATACCAGTAACAGGTGGTGTCCATCAGTGATCAGTGTTGGAACCAGTCTTGTTCAACATCTTTGTTGGTGACATGGGCAGTGGGATTGAGTGCACCCTCAGCAAGTTTGCCAATGACACCAAGCTGTGTGGTTTGGTTGATACACTGGAAGGAAGGAATGCCATCCAGAGGGACCTTGACAGTGAGGTGGGCTGATGCCAACCTTATGAAGTTTAACCATGCCAAGTGCAAGGTCCTACACCTTTGTCAGAGCAATCCCAGGCACAGCTACAGGTTGGGCAGAGAAGAGATTCAGAGCAGCCCTGCAGAGAAGGACTTGGGGGTGTTGATTGATGAGAAACTCAACATGAGCTGGCTTCAGTGTGCGCTTGCAGCCCAGAAAGCCAACCGTATCCTGGGCTGCATCAAAAGGAGCATGACCAGCATGTTGAAGGAGGTTATCCTGCCCCTGTACTCTGCTCTCCCGAGACTTCACTTGGAGCACTGTGTACAGTTCTGATGTCTTCAACATAAGAAGGACATGGAACTGTTGGAACAAGTCCAGAGGAGGGCCACGAGGATGATCAAGGGGCTGCAGTGCCTCCTGTGTGAAGACAGGCTGAGAAAGTTGGGGCTGCTCAGCCTGGAGAAGAGAAGGCTGTATGGAGACCTCATAGCAGCCTTCCAGTATCTGAAGGGTGCCTATAGGGGTGCTGGGGATGGACTCTTCATTAGGGACTGTAGTGATAGGACAAGGGGTAACGGGTTAAAACTTAAACAGGGGAAGTTTAGACTCAGTATAAAGAAGCTCTTTATTGTGAGGGTCGTGAGGCACTGGAATGGGTTGCCCAAGGAGTCTGTGAATGCACCATCCCTGGCGGTGTTCAAGGCCAGGTTGGACAAAGCCTTGGGTGACATGGTTTAGTGTGGGGTGTCCTTGCCCATGGCAGGCAGGTTGGAACTAGATGATCTTAAGGTCCTTTCCAACCCCAACTGCTCTATGATTCTGTGATATGCTTAGAATAAAAGTGGAAGGTTTGGTTTGGTTTTTGTATTTTATTTTTTTTCCAGGTCTGAGATTATGTCAAGTGACCATACTTATTCTGCAGAGTTATGTGCAACTGTCATGGTCTGTGTGGCATTGGCTCAAAGATTATGAATCTCTGAAGGGCAGTGGGGCTGAATTGGTGGGTAGTGTGTGAGCAGACTTACCACTTCTTCTAGGTCCTGTGCAGCACTAGGCTTAGTCTGGATGTACAGACCTGAAAAGGTTGTCATTTGGCATGGGTGGATGTTGCTGTTCCCTTGAGAAATGAGTGCAAATAGATAGTCTTTAAGCCAACTGTTGCAAAATAAATGGGGCGAGGAGGTTAGCAGGCTTATGGGCCCTATCACTTAGTTAACAGGGGAGGGCTAGATGAATCTGAGCTTGGCTGTTTGTGTGTAATTGCATCCTCATAGTGAACTGAGAAAGCTGGAAGAAAACCCTTATTTGAACTTCCACTTGGGTAGGTGAACATAGATTTAGAGCTCCAAAGTGAGCCTAAGGCCTCATAGTAAGTACACTGGACAGAAAGAGACAGGCTAAATAATGTATATGTTACAAAGTCTTAACAGTGTAGAACTAGTCTTTCTACTTGAGAGTTAGTGTAGTGACATTTTGTGATGTTGTGTTCCCCTACTTCTCCCTTGAGTTTTTTACTTTCTGTATATCTGGGCTTCTTAAAAATAAGCAGCAGTGCAGCTGCTGTGATAACTGAAGTAAACTCATCTGTGGCTTCGCTGCTTCAGTAATGCAACAGTTAAAAGCACAGGCTGAATAGTACTTGTGTACCACATCATTGTAATTTTCTGTGGTTATACACAGGGTGTCGGCGTACCTAAACACAAATGTTATATTCTAATAGGGTTTATTTAGTTCCAGATATTTGTGGAATAAGCAGGCAAGGCCTACTCAATTGACACTGAGGATAAGTATAACTGTAGGCAACAACTTTTTTAAATTGTCTGTTGAATATTCTCTGCTGAAGCCTGGATGGGGTTTATGCAGTAGAAATTTTTTTCCCATAGACTTTTCATGTAAGAGAGAAAAACTTTCAAATTTGGTACTTAAAACACATGATTGATAACAATCTGAAGAACTAAGGAGAAACATTTATTTACTGAAGTGCTTCCAACTTCCACTAGAAGAAAAGTAGTTTTTCGTCAGACAGCCTGGACCAGGGGAGCTCTCCATTAGTAGTATGAGGGAGTTGCTCTACTGCTTTATTAACTGGAATGTGTTTGAGTGGAACTATTCTGAATTTCATGTTTTAGTTAAGGCTTTTCAAGAATGCCTCTCAAATAGAAGAAGTGGGGAGGTGAGGTGAGGTGGGGAGCCATGACTGAAGGCTGCAAGTTCAGCTTTTCTTAATAAGGAAGTGAAGCCAGTGTTTGGTGACTGTATAAAGAGGGGTTGGAAGATCCTGCTTAAATTGAAAAGAATATCAGAGGCTTAGGTTGAAATCTGTAGTTCTGTGTAAACATCTGTTTGGACTTGATCATTTGGCTTTCAAAGTACTTTAGTGACTGAAGTGAAACACTTGTGCTCCCTCTGCTGGATATGTAGCAGCTGTAGTACAGAACTTGGGACTCCTAAAGCTCTCGGCTTCTAATTTCACAGTAGTAACACTGAAGATACAAGTGGTGAATGGATGGAGGATGTTGTTAACTTTTTATTTTGTTGTTGCTTTTGTGTTGTTTTGTTGTGGAGGTTTTTTTTTGGCTTCCCCCCCCCCCCCGTAAATCCTTTTCAGCCTGCTCTTGGCTTTTTTATTTTGGGGCTAGTATTGTTCCAGCGATACTTGCTGTTATAACTGTAATTAACAGTTGCACCAGTCTGTATAACTTCCATCAGCGCTGGATGTAACTTCTAAAAACTTAGTAGTACATCAATGCATGAGGTGTTAATGGGCAAATACCTTGGATGAGCAAAGTGGGGTTTTTTATATTATTTTTATTTTTAAATTTAACCAAATACAAAGGGAAGTCTTGGGTATAATTTAGAAGAAGCAGGCCCTTTTCTCCCTTTCCCTCCAGGTCTATGTTTGGAATTTGCTTTGAGGAAAATTTTTTTTTTTCTTTTAGCATAAAACGTCCACTACAGCATAGGGAATGATCTGTGTTTCTTAATGGCTATAGAAGTTTGGCACTTCATGTTGTTACTTAGATTGGTAAAGATCTGTGTCAGGCTTACTTGTTTAAACCTACTGTTACATGAAAATTGATATGTGGGTGGCTGTTCCTAGACCATTCCCACCTCTGCTTGAGAGAATAGACCACTATGTGAGTAGAGAACATGGTGATGCTTTCTGCTTATGCTCACAGATATTTTTTTTTTTTTGTGTGTAGGCAGGTAATACAATGGTCCTTAAAGCTGGCATACTTTTTGCCTATGACTTGATGTAACTACTTGTAGGGAGCATTAGTTCATTTTCTGTTGTAGTAAGTAAATTTTTTACTGTCAGGCATTATCTTGTCAGTTCTGTATTTCAACAATAATGTGCTCTAATATAAGTATTGTGGTCGATACTACTAGTCTAGCTAGATGATAATTACTGAATATATTAGGATCCAGATAAGTTTTGGATTGTAGACACTGCTTCTGGAATATGCATGCTATTCTGGCTTTTGGTTGTGGGTATCCAATTTTGAGAGATGGCTTTCATGTATTTGATCATGTGTTTGATGCTTGAATAGACCTATTCTCAAGATGGAGTTACTGAGACTGTCTGGACAAGTGGATCTTCAAAAAGTGGACCTCTGCAGGCATTTTCTAGGGAGTCTACAAGAGTGTCAAGAAGAACACCAAGGAAAAGGGTGATGATAGGCTTCTTATAATAGACAAGCTCTTTCTTTTTTTTTCTCACTTTTAGGGTCTCAGTGGTAATTTTATTCAATTGTTTTCTTTTGTTTGTTTTAAACAAACAGGTGGAAGCTACAGCACAGTTGCCTGTAGATGATGCTGTAATATCAGAGAGTACTCCCATAGCTGAAACTATTTTGACTGCAAGCAACGAGACCCTAGTAAATATGCTTAGTAAATATGTTCAATAAATCATGCAAGTCGTATTCTTCTGTAATATATCTTTACTGATGGAATCGTTCTGTTTTGAACAGACAGGTTGTTTCAAGGGAAGGAAGACTATTCAAAGACTATGTTCTTTGAAACCATATTCAGTGTTTGTATTAGTACCTATGCTGTTCACTTTGAGATGGGACTGGGTAAACGCCTAGATCCTATCGTCTTTTTGTGGGGAGGGTTGAAAAGAGCCACTTTCAAAGCTTAGATCCTTTAAGTACATGCAGAATATCAGCTTTTAAATTTGGCTTTTCTTGTGAACTAAATAGCTGTATTTCTAAATGGCTTAAAAGAAAGTACTTGGAATGATAAGCAATGTGTTTCCTGTGCTTATTTCAAAGTATTTGTTACATAACCTTCTTGAGTTAACTGCTAATGTGCATATATTCAATGCACATAAAGGTTTTGTTGCTTGGTTCTGCCACCTTCCCCCCCCCCTCTTTCATTTTGTATTTTGGCTGATTCTGAGTTTGAACAATTTTGAATCTTGGCAGGTTGGCAATAGGGTGACTGGAAATTACAAGCATGCATCTCCTACGCTGTCAATCAGTGAACTCTCAGACATGCCCAGAAGAACACCAAAGAAACCATTGATGACAGCTGAAGTAAATAAATTAAAACTTAGATTGCTCTTGCTTACTCTCTGTGATCAAGATTCTAGTGTGTATGTGCTTACTTCTTAGTACAGAAGGGGTAGAGGACATCATTGTCCAGATGTTACTAGTCAAAATAGTAGTGTCACTGGCATAAAAATAAGTGTATATTCTCTCTTTTATCTTCCCCTTTCAGATTTGGGGGGCGTAGGGGTATGTGTGTGTGTGTAAATCCTACTTTTTTTTCCTAAGCTAAATATGTTCTGGTGTTTTATTTCTTCTTGTGCTGCTGTTCTGATGAAAATGTAGATTTTTTGTTTTTCCTTAAATCCTTTGAATAGCTCAAAGATAGAGCAGTATTGGTTTATCTACTTTTGATCTTGTTAAATCAGCCTATCCTGAAAAGCCTTAATGTGCTTTAATTTAGGGCCTCAAATAGTAGGATTACTTTAGCCCAAAAGCCTAAATTTAAAAAGCATCTGTAGATTCCTATCAGTTATCAAGAAAGAAAATAATTCTTTGACTAGATTAACTGTAAATCTGTCAAAATTATATTCTCGGAGAACTGTCTAAAGCACTTGCAAGTATGTGTAACTGTTTTAACATAGTACTGTAATATTGTGTACTTTTACATTACAAGGTAATGTTTGGCTGAAATTAAATGGAGTTCATTGCTTCATGTAGTTACTGCAGATAAAACTTGTGTTAACATTTGTGAAGCCTATTCTCAATGGGTCTGAAATTTATGAAATGGGGCTGCTTTATTTGTAGTGTAACTGGAATGTAGAATTAGTTGCCAAATAGAAGCTTGTGGGAAAACTGGATGTTGTCTTTGAAGCTTTAGTTTTGGGTTTTTTTTCTTCAGTTAGTATTTTACTATACTGTGGCATTGTTTATTACAGCAAGAAGAGACAGATTGCCTACATCAGTACTTTTTAAATCATGTTGGCCACAACCAATCCTGTGATCTGATCAACACAGCCATGATAGAGGTGATGGTTAAGTTTTTTTGATCATCTACATCACTGGCTGGCAGGTGTATTGTATTTATATGGCATATTTTTTATTTTAAAGGAAACTGAGGAGAGGACTGAATGCTTTAAGACACCAAAAGTGACCAGACAGCTGCCACTAACAAAGGTTAAACTAACTTCTAGAACCCAAGTAGTAAATTTCTTTAATGCCACTGGGTGACTCAGTCTTAAAAATTGCACATGGTTATGGTCACTGAGATAGCTATGCAGGAGCTTTTTGCTTTGCAGTCTTACTAGGTTTATAACTGTTTTTGATTTCCTAGGTGCTGGAGAGAACTCATACAGAAGAACGAAGAGTAGAAAGGGATATTCTCAAGGAAATGTTCCCTTATGAAGTATCAACACCTACAGGAATTAGGTATTTCAAAGGTTTATGTGGAGCTTGTTTCTCAGTTTTGTAATCCTATTTAAGATGATAAGTGTTCTCTGATTATATTAGTAGGTTTCTGAGGAACAACACTTTTTGTGCTGTCTCAGTAACAGTTGAGATGACCAGCTCTTCTGTTCTATATACATAGTTCTGTTAGGCAAAACAGCCATTTCTTTATTTAAATTGAGGGTGGGAGAACAGGGTAATATTCTAATAGGAATTATTATTGGAACTTCTGGATGCTGCGAGTTAGATACAAAGGGCTTATCTGTGTAGCTTAAAATATCTAAGCTTTCTGTTAGATACAGCTGCTGTAGGCCTGCTGTTAAATGAAAGATTTCCCAGCATATATGTGAGCTTTCTTTCTGAAAGCCAAAAAGAATTTTCAGATACCCTATTTTTTTCCTCTGAGTAGCAGTCCTGTTCTAGTCAGAGATTAATCTTAGCATGAATAAGGACAGCATCTAAGAAGGGCTGTTACATTTTTCTTTGCAACTTCATATTTAACTAAAAACTTAAACAACCTTCTGGATAATTAAGCCATTCACCAAACTTTGTCCTGTTAGAGAATGAGAAAATTTCCCAATGTTAAGATGTGAAGTCAATTCTTGTGTTTCCAATATGTTAATTATAGCTTCAATTTAAACTGCAATTGCATGAAGTCTTACCATAAGGAGAACATATGGTAACCGCTACTACTACTGTGGTGTATTCTCTCACCACTCACCTTTGCTCTTGTTTTGAGGTCTGTCAGTTGTGTTAAATCTATACCACTTAATAAAAATCATGCATTGTATGCCATGCATACAGGGTGAGGCAATCCTGCCTGTGGCAGGGGGAGCTGGAATTAGATGATCTTAAAGTCCTTTCCTACCCTAACTATTCTATGACATGGCAGTGTAGCTGGATTTTTTTAACCCTTACTGCTTTGTCTTCTGGCTAAGCTGTCAAATACATATTTTAAAGGCCAAGGCAATCTTGGATTTAGAAATCCCAGTGGAGCTGCATAAGTTATCACTAAAGATGTAAAAGAGGCACACTTTCTAGAGCTTTATTGCCAGTTATGATTCATTGATTACATGGACAGGATGAAGTGCCATTTCAGTTTTTTTTTAAGGGGTGTGTATTTAAACACTGAATGACTAAGGCAGTCATTCAGTGTTCATCCTAGTAATGGTAGACGTGTTAGTTTGCAACAAATGCTTCAGGTACTGCATTCACTAGGAATATTTTTTAGTTCTTTCATTATAATAAAACTTGTGTTTACCTTAGATTGCTCTTTGAAATATGTGATATTTTATGGTTTGGGGGGGTTTCTATTAACAGTGCTAGCTGCCGTAAACCCATCAAAGGAGCTGCTAGCCGGCCTATAGAGCACAGTGACTTCAGAATGGAGGAATGTTTCTCTAAGTATGCTCCAAAATACGGTACCTCAACTGACATCAAGTTGGAGAAACCACCAACAAAAAAACGCTCCATTCCCCTGTGGATAAAAGTTCTTCTCTTTGTTGTCATTTCGGTCTTCTTGTTTTCAGTTTATCAGTCAATGGAAACTAATCAAGGAAATCCTTTCTCTAAGTATCTGAGTATTAACCATCAGGGTGGTGCCAAATGAGTATCTTTCTGAAAGGCACACCCAATTTGATCTCCTATTTTTAATTGTAGAGAACTCTTCTGCCCTCTCATCGGCTCAAGGACTTCTTACAAATAATGTGATTGGAACATGATAAATTGGATAAAGGAAGAAAGTTAATATTAAATGGACATCGGTCACTTTCTGGATTTGGACTAGTAGGAGATCACTGCCATAGGAGTAACATTTTTTTAAATCTTTGAACTTTTTGTAGGCTTTATTTTTTTAATGTGGACATCCTTTAAATTCATTTTTGAGAAAATGTATATTTGTTTTTGCAAGAACTTGGAAGCTGAGAAGGGCAAAAATGTAGTAAAATGTGAAGCTGTGTTTTTAAAGCTTTTCCTTTGTACAGAAAAGAGGTTGTACTTCTGTCTCTATTGTGGAGGAAGATTTTAGCACAGGTGATAAAGGGAAATGCATTTTTCTATGCATTTTTTCAGTAGCCATGTAACTGAACTTGATCCCTTTTAGGATGTAGGGAGAGTATGACAACCTTTTCTGTAGATTACTGTAACTTTTTAGTAAATGTAACTGTAAACCTGTTTGCATTTCTGTAAAAGTCTTAGTATCATATTAATAACTCCGTTTAAGTGTAACTTCATTTAAATGTATCCCTTTGTTTTAGTGCTTACAGTGTTGTAGGAGCTGAATACAAACCTAATTGGCAAGAGATGTCTTAGAGGAACTTATTTATTAGGAATATGCGTGGAAAATAAAATTTGCATCAATATAATTTACTACTAAAATACTTTTTTGGGTCAGAGTTGTTATCTGAAGTAGTCTAAATTTTGATGTTAGCAGTGGTCCTTTTTTTTTTTTTTTAAGCGAGGTCTTTCCAACACAGCTTTTGATTATCTTTAAATATTCATGTAGAGAAGTATTCTCAAAGTGTGAAAATTCCGTATGAAGTTTTATTCTTGTATGAAGAGGGCATTGCTGCATTTTCTGCTACAGTTTCATCTTCTGAGGTGAGATTTACTACTTTCATGCAATTGAATATTTTTCTCAGTGGAAGCATGCTGAAACACTCTATATTGTGTAACTTAGTTGAGCAGGCAGCTGAATTCACTACTACCAATGAAGAGTGATAAGCAACAATTTTTCAAAGTGAATGTATACATTTTTGGTGTGCTTAAATCTGCAGCATCCAGATGTTCAGTCTTACTGCTTGGTACAAAATCGCAATAAATCTCACTAATTCTTAAAGTGCTACTTATAAAACGCTGAGAACATTAATTAATAGTCATTATCTTTTTACTCTAGGTACAATTATTGCATAGGCTATAGCTATGGAGAAGCTTTACTTTCTGTGAACTTTGGGACAAACATGGTAATTTGTAGCAAAGCAATAGTTTTTGGGGGTTTATTTCTGTTAAGATTAATTTTTGTTTTTCCTTTTAATCTGCCTTTCTAGTAATCCAAATAGCTAAACTTGTGTCCATCCTATAGAAAACTGTAACATAAGACATTCACTTCTGGTGTCAAAATGCAGAAAAATAAAAATGATTTTAATGTGTGTGGATTTTCCTTATCAAAATAAATTCATTGCTGAAAAGCAGCAAAAGAAAGATAGCTGATGTATCAGAGGTGTCATTTTGTGCTGCTGAAGTCATCCATCTTTAAAAAAAATAAAAATCTGATAGTAAAACCAGAGCAGTTCATGTCAGCATTTGGTGGGAGGTATATCATCATACTTGCACTATAGTAGTAGTGCAACCATAATCTTTTAGGCCTATGTTAGGCCTTTAAGTTGGATGGGGGGAATAGCTAATCTTCATTTGCTTTTCAGTACTTAAGGAACTTCCTTCTCACTTTAAATTATTTTTCACCCCACTTTGCTATGTGTTTTAACATGAAATATGTCTTTCTCTTCTAGTTACATGAAATAATTTCAGTTGACCTCCTTCAGGGATACTGTTAGCATAAAAAAAACACAAACCCAAACACACCCCAAACTGAACTGCAGTGCAATCGAATGTTGTCATTCTTTCATTTATGCAGTGTTTTGGAGAATCCTCTCAACTTCAGTGTTACTTCACAGAAGGTAAAGACTTTTCTACATAAGTTCTCAAAGTAACTTACATGTAGCTCGGTTGTAGTTGGAAGATGTTGGAAGCTTCTTGTGCTTGAGGCATTTAATGGTGTGAGATAGCTCTGAGAATAATCTCTTCCTTCTTTATTCCCTCTTTTCCTTCCTCTGTGAGCCCCAAGTACAGATTTACTAGCATTACTAAAGCTATTGATGTAGTTTATAAGAAAAACACGTAGTAATAATGCTACTAGCTTGAATAGTTGCATGTGCATAAAGCTGCCTAAATACTGCTAAGTAAGTTACACTTAAGTATACTGCAGTCTTTGTATTGAAGTGTAGAAACAATGGGAACTGGTGTTCATTTTTTTTTTTTTTTAATCTGACTTTTGTTCCATTAGTTTATCTTGACTTTTAGACAGAGACAGGTTAAACTTTCACAACCACAGAATAGAGCCATTTTACAGACTGGTATTAGTATCCAAATTCCAGATGCAAAAATTAGTTGAGTTCTGATGTGGTAAAAGTTGCTTAAGTCCCTTTTAGTGCAACAGCTACAAAAAGACTGGAAAAATGGCTGTGTAAGTTAATAGGCATGACAATATTGGGGGGTTTGGTGAGTTTTATTCTCATGACTGGTCATAGTGCTTAGAATACTGTGCTGAAAACATACCTTGATTTGCTTGTCTGAGTTACAGCTAACACAGAGCTCGTGTTTTTCCCTTTAAATTGTGCATTAATCTTGTAGCATGTGCCCAGTTTGGCGTCTGGTATCAGGCTGTGAATGGCTAGGGGGTATCACTTGTAGTGTTGAGACTTACTGTGGCACCTGATCCATGGTGAGGCTGTGAGAGCTTACCTACTGTCTGAGACAAGATCTTAAATTCTGTGTTTTGAAACTGATTTTTATGTGAAGGAAACTGTTCTCCAAGTAGATTTTCTAGCACCATGCTCCCTACTGCCCTACAGAAGCTTTCAGGTCCCTCATAGACTTGATCTATGTATGTTTCAGTTTGTTTCTTGTGGCACAACTTAGGAAAACCCTTCATGGTATTAAAATCTGGAGTTCCTGTTAATTGCCTTCTCAGATGGTTCTGTGGACAAAATACTGTTTGTTTGTTGTGGATTTGTATTTGGGGGATTTTTTTTTTTTTTTTTTAGTTTTTTTATTTTTTTTTTAAAGGCCATTAACTGGTTTGTGCAGAGTTAAAGTACAGCTGAGTACCAAAATAATGCCTTTAATTAATACAAGCTCCAAAAAGAGGCTGTTCAGCTGAGAATTATGAATAAAGCTTGTAAAATTGTGTGGCATGTCTTCTACATAGTATATTTTTGGCTTGCTTTGAAGTTGCATATTGGGCTGATAAGCTTTTTTTTCTTTTTTTTTTTTTTTTTAAATCAAAACCTTTATCTGACTGGCCAAAATAAATATGGGGATGGATTATAATTTTAAATCTTGTGTTTAACAGACTTAGGCTTTCCAGCACATCCTTTATTGTCTGTTAATACAGCTTTTACTGTATGTTTAGTAAGGCTACCTGTCTTTATCTAAAACTTTTCCTATGTCTTAAGCTTTTTTTCCTTAGGGAGTGTACCAGGCTGCTTTCCACCAGTGCAAAAGCAAGCTATCACAGATGTATACATACATGTATGTGTTCATACAACATAGGGCCTACAAGTTAATTTAACTTGTAGTCCTAAGGTGGCATAGATACCTCTAAGAAATATGTATTGATATTGAAAAGTAATTCCTCAGATTCTCTGTCCCACCTCACTTTGAAATTCTTTGTCAGCATTGGTACATTGGGGAGAATTTAGATAAAAAAGATCATCAGATGAGGAGGGGACTCTTAGGCCATTTAGAGATTTTGTTAGTTCCTGCATTCAGATGATGTAATTTCAACCTAGCTAGTTTAGATCCTGTTGAAGGAGAATGCTGCAGTGTTAAGGCTTTGGCTGTGAAACTTACAGCTTGAATTGATCTGTTACTGATTCTTTAGAATCATGGTCTAGTAGTTCTGGTGTTAATAGAATAAATAAGTAAAATACATGCTTATGACAGGAGCAGATGCTACTTGTGCTAACTTGATTATCAAAGATGTGGTTGGTTGTTTCACCATCTCATTGTGTATTTTTAAAAGCAGTATGTCATCTGGAGAACAAGTTTACAAGTGCTTTGATTTTACTTGCAGGCTTCACCAAAATGTTAGAACTATGAGGAGTTACTGTAGGACAGAAACTAGTCTGCAGTTGGTTGATTGTGTGCTGCTTGGGGGGGGGGGGGGAGATGGAGGGTGTGTGTGGTGGGTGTTAGTAACAGAAGGATAGATGTAAGTAAGTAAACTTTGGAGTTGCGAAACTGTCATTTTCCTAAATTCCACAAATTTGAAACGTAAAATGGTTTTAATCAAAGATTAATTTTTACAACAGCTCTTTTTACTGTGAATCTGACAGAAGTGGACACCAAAAGGTAACATCTTGCAAGTTTTCATCTATTACTAATTTTGATATGTGTCAGAAAATCAGATTAATCTAGCTAGTTTGAATTACGTGCTGTTGCTATTTTATTCTTTCACAGATGGGAAATGGTATGCATTCAGCAGAAACACATTATTCTGGTATTTTCACAGGGTTATGTTAGACTGCTGGTTAACTGTACTTGTTAACAGTACTGCTGTTAAAAGTTAATTGGCAGCTAAACCCAAAGAAACTGATGGTTCTGCAGACTATAAAGTGTCAGTACTAGTTGTGCATAAAAATTGCCATTAGATGTATGTATAGTCACATATTCATCCTTCATAATTGGAACAGAGGTTATCTCTATGTTCTGCAAGAATTTCAATCATTTAAATGTACTTTGGTTTGTGAAATTTGGCTTTTAGAAAACATTGCTGCCAACAATTGTTTAAATGCAGGTGAGTAGAGCAGAACAGTAGCAAAATGAACAATTCTGGCCTGTCTCCCTTGCTGCCAGTGGCAGGAAAGTGAGCAGCACTTTAGGTTCTCAGCTGGTAGCCAAGTGAAAGTAAAGAATCAAGTTCAGCCGGCCTTTTCCTGCTTGGCAGTTGGAATCAAGTTTACTCAAGAGGGATTTAACCAACCTAGACTTTTATAACAATGCTAGGAAGCATGTGTCATTTTTGCCTGTGTATGATTGTGGTTCAGTAGGAGCTGCTGAGTTGCCAAAGGGGTGTTTCTGCAGGTGTGCTCTCAGTATGGGTCCCTGCCTGGAAGTAATAGCTGGGATGTTCAGTGTGTGCCTCCTGCTGTGCTGTCTGCTGCGCTTACGTTACGGAGCACTGTAATGGAAGGGGTATGAGTGAGATAGTGAGAACTTGGGAGTTCTTATCTCTCAATAACCAGAGAGCTGAACTGTGTTGCACTGGTAAATCCACTAAAATGAGTGAAATCACACTGTTATGAGAAAGTGTAGTTTAAGGTAGTTAAGGGTAAGCATGGGTGTTCTGTTAAATAACACTCCACTTGCAACAAAACAGTATCTCACAATTATTCTGACAGCAGCTGTAGCTGTTGTTGCACAGGCCCTTGCTAGCTTGCAGGCTTGCCATTGGAAGGAGAAATGCAGTTGTAGAGGCTGTGGGCAGAGTGGTGGCCTCTCTCTTGTCTGTGCTGGGTCTGGCATGGTGCTGCAGCAGGGGCCTGGCCAGAGGGGTGCGGCTTTTGTTGAAGGAGTTGCTTCTTGCAGCTTTGCCAGGAAGTATCACTAGCTGTGAGTAAACAGAACTGGACTTCTTTAAACTCATCTTAAACTCTGGGTGTGATTGTCGCCTGCTCTGTGAACCAAGAACAGCTTGCTAGTGCTAGAAGCAGGCCGTTGGAGCAGGAGTATGGGAGTGTCCCGGGCTGTAGCTCTGCGGACTGGCTAGCAAGTGCCCAGATACGGGCAGAACGACGGAAGGCTCAGAAGTTCAGGCACAGAGTTTTAACAGGGAGGGTGCACCAATACCTCCCTTCCGAGCTACCCAACAAGTCACAGCCTTCTTCAGGCCTGTCGCAGCTGCGGCGCTCGCCTGACCTAGGCAAGGGCACGGGGCAGCCGACCGGCCCGTGAACCGACCGGCAGCTGTGGCGCGCAGCCAGTGCCCCGTCCCCAGCAGCTCCGCCTGGCGCAGCCTAGTAGCCCCGGGATAAGGGTTGACCCGACCCCCTCACCTCCCCCGGCACGGAGCGCAGCCGTGAAGGGCGGGAGGGGGAACGGCGAAGGGTGGTGGTCGCTGCTGCGCGTGCGCGGTAGTGCCGGTTGGCAGCGCGTCTCTGCCAATCGCTCTGCAGCTTCTTGGGCTGTGACTCCGCCCCTTGTGCCGGCGAAGGACAAAGTGACGGAGCCGGGCCCGCGGTCAGCCTCTGCGCGCGCTGCCGCCATCTTAGGAGGTGAGTCAGGACAGCATTGGGCTGCCCGCTCGCCGGGACCCGCTGTTCGCCCTGGGGCGACGGGCCGCATCTTGGGTGCGGGACTAGCCGTACGGGCCCCTGGAGGGTCCCGCAGTCCCACGCCGCTCTGCTCTTTTCGCCCGCTTCAGGTCACCATGTTCTCCTCCATCGCGCCGCTCGCCCGGCTCAACCCCTTCTACGCGCCGCATTTCCAGCCGATCCAGGATGGGGTGAGGAAGCGAGCGGAGCCCACCGAGGGGCCCACCACGCGGCGGAGCTTGGCGGCCGCATCCGCCGGTGAAGGTGAGAGCGGGAGGGAGGGATGGCGGCCGTGGCGAGGCCCGCGGGCGGGTAAGGCGCCCTTGCCAGCCCGATCTCCGCTCACGCGGGCTTGCGGCGGCCGGGGTGGCGGAAAGAGGGTTAACGCTTACTGGATTAGGCCGGGCCGGGGAGGAGCGGCTCTGTAGCGGGCGCTGGGCCTACGCGCTCGCTTGGAGGACGAGGAAGGGCACGGGCCGGGGAGGCGCTGGTGGCAGCTTCCGCTCCCCGTGCGGTGTGTGCTAAGTGATAGCGGGGATCCGACGTGACAGGGGAAGGTGCTGGTTTGGAGTAATGAGAGAGAGCGCTGATCGAGTCTGTTTCGGGGCAAGAGTGCATTTGCTGGCTTCTGGGCCTGCAGCCTCGAGGGCTGGGACTTCAGGCCTACGCTTCTTTATTCCTTGGAGAAGAGCAGCATGTGAATCTGGATGGATTTGAAATACTTTTTTTTTTTTTTTACCTTTTTTTTTGCTATTCCTCTTACTTTTCTCCGTGTTTATTTAGAGCTGGACATCTGAACATCCAGACACATTAGAGGTGCCCTTTGTAGTTGTTGGGCATGCACCAGATGGCTCTGCTGTCTTAAGATACAGTGATGCATTTTAGATTTTAGGTGCAAGTGTTTCCTTATTGCGTTTGTGACTTCAAAGGTCAGACCTTGATGAGACTACTAATAGTGGAGGTAGATGTTAAAATTCTAATTATTTTAAGCTTTTGATAACTTGAAAGCATGCCTCTACTTTTAATTAAAAAAATAAAATGAAATTGCAGTAGTACTACTTTCAGCAAGATACTCATCTGAAGTACTATGCTTACGGAAGTGTGTTAATCCTCTTGCATGAACATTCATATGATATATGAAAGAGAGATAAACTTGTTGGATTTTATTACATTTTCAAAAAAGTACTTCTGACTTTCAGTGTGGTAATCTTGTTGCTTACTAGCTAAAGCCATAAATTATTCTTTGATATGCTGAATATATTCAGTGGTTGCACTTATTTCTTGAAAGCGTGAAGCATGATCTTCATCTTGTTTGAAAGCATATGCTGTCAAAGGTAACCAGAGTTTCTTATTCTTCATAGTTTTTTCTGCTGTGTTCATTCTTTCATGGACCAGTTGGTTCTCTGGCCTTTGTGTTGGAGGTTCACACATTTCAGAAGATATCTGAGCTTACACAAGGTCATACAAAGTCAGTACAAACCACAAGGTCTTTTGAGCTCATCTCAGAGCATTAACTCTAGGATAGTTCAGAGGCAAAGTGTTTTATGATCAGCTCTTGGAATTTGCCCTTGTTAATGTTTCAGATCAGAAGCAGAGAAATCAAATAATTATGATACAGCTATCTTAATAGGTAGACAAGTTTTTGGTCTGTATGTTTATGTTTGAGTAGCATGAGGGTGTTTGTCCTAAGTCCCCTTCTAGGTATGTCAGAATAATTTTCTTGCTCTCTGTACTACATGCTTATCCAGTTTTCTTTTCATGTAACAGTCTTTAGGAAATTTAATTCTTTTAAAATAGAAAGCCTGGTATGTAGTGTGGCTTTCTTTCCCTAATATTGCTGTACCATTACAAACTTAGGTACCTGTAAAGAGCTGAAGCCTAATCAATACCGGCTTGCTTTTCCTAATTACTTGGTTTTGAACACCTGACCAGCAGGTCAGTCTGAACAATAGCATTATAATAAAACAGGTACATAAAGCTCTAGTTTTTTGTGATTTCTACCGTTGTCTGTCAATTGAGGAGTATCACTTGTAACAGTAAATTATTGTGAAAAAGGGAATGTGAATGAGCACTTCTGGTATCTGGGCATCATGATAACTGCTGCAGTACTGTTGTGCAGCAGGCCAAAGATTCAGCTAGACAGAGCTACCCTGAAATACAGACTCAAGAGTCTGTTCTTTGATTACACCTTCATAGAAAACCGTGTTTGTGTTTAGCAAGTCATACTAGCAAATTGTAAGCAGAATGTTACTACTGCTTGCAAGTCTGCTAGCATAACCAACCTTTTTTAGAGGCGTGTGTGAGTCCTGGACCAGCATATTTACAGTCTTGAGTAATATCTCAATTTAAAAAAAAATACTCATAGGTTATGCATTATTCTGATTGTTAACTGATTTCATCCTTCAAGTATAGGCTTAATATAGTGTCTGTGTTTCAGTATTTGTTATTTTAAAGTGGAGAAAAAGTGACACTTCTATTGCCTTGTTGATTAATTATGAAGAGTAAGGTGAGAAATACGAACATAACAGGCAATACAAAGCCTGCAGTAGTTGAGGGAAGAAGTTCCCTTCCCTCAAGCGAAGTTAGAAGCTGGAAAAGCCTGCTAGTGTTAACTGGTGCTCTGTTGATGCTGTTGAATGTAGTTGTAAATTTTTGTTGATGTTCATAAAGGAATTTATTACAGAAGAAAAAAAAGCCCAGAGAAGTTCTCAGAAGCTCTGAATAAAGTTAGGGTTTTGCTGACTTTTGATTTTCATTACTGTTTTTGTGAGGATAGTTCTTATTAAGTTGCTGTAACACTAATGTCTGTTCCATTATATTGAAGTAACACCACTAGATTTAACAGAAAAAGAACCTAGGTTGTCCATTTCTACTCTGGGGAATATTTTCTATGTGATGTATTGTTTTCTATATGCTTATTCAATATATTGCTTTTGCTTATGTATTTAAAATGCTAAGTATAATAGCAGAATGGTGTTGCTACCTCATGCTTATTTCATACTGTTAATTGTAAAAATTACAAAAAAAAAATTGTTTCTTGGTTGTCCCTCATCATGCCCTCTGTAGCTTCTTCAAAAATGGAAGAGGGAAACTCATCCTTTTTTTTTTTCTAGCTCTAGTAACTTTGCGTCAATGGAATTTATGAAAAATAATAACCTGTTCTTTAAAGACTGGATGGTTTTATACATAGTACTATAGGGAGCAGTGCAAATGAAATATCCTTGATTAAACATGATGGGAAGATTCTTTCATGAACCTTGTTTGTAGGCATTGAATGTGATAATAAGATGCAGTTTCACTAAACAGAAGCTGTATAAATCTGAGATTGTTTTAGACTGAAAAACATCTGTATGAATCTGTAAAATACCTGAAAGTGTATCTGCATAAAGAAAAAAAATCCGGTGCTGATCTTGTAGTTCTGTATGGTTTCTACTTAAATACCTAAGTTGTACTATCATAGAATATTTAACCAAAGAAGCTGTAATACTAGAGAAATACTATTCTTGCTTAATTCCTTGATGTAAGAAAATGTTGGACATTGCAGCTCTGAGTCATAATTTCTGTTAGCAGCTTCTGAGATTCATTTCTATGGTTTAAGTGTGCTGAGTGCTAAGACTTGACTGTTTCTTCCATTGCTATTTTCATTTATTTATTTATTTATTTATTTATTAAGGAACAAACTTAATTTCAAAGGCTTAGAACCAAATCTTGTCAGTCCAAGAGATGCTAATTCAAAGCAAGGGAATTATTTTTGAGTATAACACTACAGTTGAACAATACAATATGGGAGATTATTTCAGTGTAATACTTTTAAGAAGGTAGCAGTCAATTTTATTTCTTTTCTGAGCTTTGTTGCTGTTTATGATTGATCCTATATATATAATTTTTTTAATTTTTTTTTAATTAACTAGAATACAGCTGTGCATATGGCTCAAACAGATTCTTTTTGCTTTGTGGCCTTGGTGGGATTATTAGCTGTGGAACAACACATACAGCACTGGTTCCTCTAGACCTGGTTAAATGCAGAATGCAGGTTTGTGCTGCATGTCGGTATGTGGTAGCATTGACAAAGTGTGTTTAGTGTGGTATATTTAATCTACTAATGAACTGGAGGGATAAGCTATCCCCTGGACATATTGTCTAACAGTGCATGGAGTTTATGCAAAAGCATGGTGTGTCTTTTATTTTTTGCTGCAGAATACAGTTGTGAATATGGCTCGCTCAAGTTTTATGCTCTCTGTGGCGTTGGTGGGGTCCTAAGTTGTGGCCTGACGCACACTGCTGTTGTACCTCTGGATTTAGTGAAATGTCGTATGCAGGTTTGTATTAACTTAAAAATTTCTTAAGGTGGTTCTCTATGTGGCCAGCACATTAAGATTTTACAGCAGGGACACTAAATTTTTATGGAGGATAGGAAGTAAGTAAACATGAATTAACTCTGCTGTTGTGAGCCTAACAACGTACCGCTTTCAAGAGAAGCAGAGGCATTTGAGATAATCTGGGTGAATTATTTTTGTCTGAATTGAAAACACCTTTGACTGATTTTGCTGAAAGGCACCAACCATGATGTTACTCTTTGCTGGCTGGTAGGCTCTCTAACACTGTGTGGTGTTGGAGAAAGAAAATAGTATCTTTGCTATTCTGAAGATCTGTGGGTTTTTAGCTTGAAGTGACATGCATGTATAATTTGATCCATTAACATTGTGGATTATCAGTGCATGGTTTATGGATTGGATACTTTATGATAATGCCACTTTGAATAGAATGGGCAAAACTTGATATGGTATTGGTAAAGCCATCGGTGCTTGTGGTTACTCTTGAAGTGGTTCTTGATAGAATTGAAAGGGATGTCATCACATCACACTTAATTTGCAATAACAGTTTCCACAGTAAAATCATCTAGTGAACAGCCGTAGATAGAAACGTACTACTGGATTTATTCAGGCAAATCTGTGCCTCAAGAAAAACAAATTGAAGCAAACTTCTAAATTTTGGGAAATACAGTAGTTAATGACTTCCCTTTTGCGTAGGCTGACTGACTATTGAAGTGGCAGTTTTGTAATGGTAGAACTGAGATTAGGAGGGAACAGTGAATTTAACAAGACCTATTAGTGACATTAGGAATACTGAATGTGGTGTTCTTTAAAATTGTGTTATTCTGAAAGGCCTTTATTTAGCATCCTTTGTAGGAGAACCTTTTTCATGTACTTGAGAGCACCTGAGGTTCTGGTCTCAAACTAGTAATTCTGTAAAACAGCCGTACCTCAATTGACGGCAGCATGCTGCTTTCTACAAAATTTGCATCAAGACAAGGTTAACTGTAGGAATTCCCTGTTTCTGCTAGTGGGGAATAGCTGTAGTTGTAGCTCTGTATGTGTTATTGAAAATGTAGCTTAAGTGCACTCTTTCATTGTTACAGACTTCAGAATACAAGATTGGTACCTTGACTACCCATACCTAAGGTTGAGTTTCCTGAGGAGATTGATCGATCATGGGTAGAGAAGATATAGCATCTCAGTTGTTAATCTGACTCCAGATTGGGTTAACAGGCATAAGTCTTGAGAGAGACACAGTGCTGCGTATACAACTGGAAGCGAGGCCTCATGCTTTCCAGGCTTCAGCTGTGTGATTGGTGTGCACAGTTTGGGCTGCTAGTCCTGGGCTCCCCTACATGGCAAGGGTAGTGACACTTCCCCTTTCTTCTCCAGCAGTTAGAGGAAGGTGTGGATTCCTGGTGTTACATTGTAAAATCTGTCAGCATGTATCTCTATACAGATCCAGTACAGAGGACCTTACTGATGCTTCCTAGATGCTCCAGGCAGGAACCCTTTGCCTGCTCTTACGTTTTTTTAAGAAGAGGTCAGCTTTTATGTAGATGATAATTAAGCATAATTATGACACAAATATAGTCTTATTTTACAGTACCCACTTAAATACCCAGTATTATGAAATTCTGGATGTTTAGGTGAACTAGGTCTCAAAGTAGGTTCTTGCCAGACTGCAAGACAAAATAACAGTCACTTCAGGTTGGCACATGTGTTCCATAGCTCTTTCTGAAATCGTTAGTTGACTTCTTGTTTGATACCTTCCTTATTCTCTGAGGAAACATTAGATGATGTCATATATGAAAATTAACATTATGATGAGACTTAAAATTTGTCAGAATGACGTACTTATTCACATTGGTCCTTTTTAAAATTTCTAATGAGTTATTAATGAAATCTCACTCAAAAGTTTTGTGTGCAGAAAATAATTTGTATGTACCCTTTACTTTGAAGTGAAAGTGCAAGTATAGAAGTTTTTGAGTACTCTTTGATCTGCTTTGCTCTATCTGTCTGAATTGAACTGGGTAGAGGGATCATACTAACCTTTTCTGATAAAGAATCAGGTGAATTGTCAGGCTTGGTTTGTGGCAACACCTGGGTGTTGATAGGTGTGTAAAGTGATTGAGATTGCTGACAGAAGCTATCAAATTTTGAAAGAATCTGATCTAAACAGAATTATATAAGTATACTACTGACAGGGTTAGAATAGTGATTTCAGTAAATCTTTTTCAGAAAGTCATATTATTGATTTGGAGAATAAATGTAAAGCAAAATTCACATGGTTGGTTTGTTCCCAGTTACTGAGGAACATACTGGCTGTTAAAGTAAGGGCTTGAGACTAGCAAATAACCATTACGGTTACATTAGTGTAACCTTGTGAGTACGTCATTTGTCCAGGGACCATAGGAAGCCAGCTGTATGAGGAATTTAAGAATTTTATGTTTCAGATGGTGGGGGGCTGAGAGGAAAGTAGTAAGCTATATCAAGCAATTAACTGCCTATTCTGTTTAGGTTGATCCACAAAAATACAAGAGCATCTTCAATGGATTTTCAGTGACAATCAAGGAAGATGGTGTTCGTGGCTTGGCTAAGGGTTGGGCTCCAACCTTTTTTGGATATTCCATGCAGGGGCTTTGTAAATTTGGTTTCTATGAAGTTTTCAAGATCCTGTATGGCAACATGCTAGGAGAGGTAAGCCTTAAGTGGTTTACGTGACAGTATGTTTATTGTAGTATTAGTAACACAGAGTATTCACAAAAGCATGATTCATTAACAAAACTGTGTGTTTAAATTCCCTTCAGGAAAATGCATACTTGTGGCGTACTTCACTATATTTAGCTGCATCTGCCAGTGCAGAATTTTTTGCTGACATTGCTCTGGCTCCAATGGAAGCTGCTAAAGTTCGAATTCAGACACAGCCTGGATACGCTAACACTCTGCGGGAGGCTGTACCTAAAATGTTTGGAGAAGAAGGCATCTGGGCGTAAGTATCTCTTGATTATAATTTTTTTATTCAGGATCTTGATGTTGAGTATTTTTTTTCCTAATGAAGAACTGTTGCTAAAACTAATTGTGGCTTTAGCGTATAATACTGACTGTTAATTCCACATGCTCCTTAGATCCATCTTTGTGAGTATCTTTGTGCTGAGTTCTGCTGGATAACTTCATTTTCTAGCAGTCCCAGTCAGAGATATTCAGCAACTTTTTGGTTGTACAGTCAAAGATGCTTGAGTCATTGGCATGTAAGAGTAATATAACTGCATGTTAGCTTTCTGTTCTGATAGAAGTGGCTGTAAATACACAAGTCATTTATTGCTATCAGGACTTGGCTGGTATGCAGACATAAGCCTTACTGCACTTGTAGTATCAGTACTGCATTAGTGCAGTGTTTTGGGATCTGAAGTGACTACAGAAACAGCCGTGCAGTATAGGGATCAGGTAAATTCTAATTCATGTTGCTGTTGTAAGTTAATACTCGGGAACTAATAAAACTTAAATTTCTGCTATGTATGTATTGAGACACTGAACCCTTACAGTGTCAGTATTTAGAAGTTACATTCTTGATGGCAACAGTAAGCTAACGCACACACCAAGTTAGAAATGTACCTTAAGTGCTGGAGAAAATCAAACTGAATTTGGCTCTTCTCTTTTTAAGTTTCTATAAAGGTGTTGCTCCATTATGGATGAGACAGATTCCATACACAATGATGAAATTTGCCTGTTTTGAACGTACTGTTGAAGCTCTCTACAAGTATGTCGTTCCCAAGCCACGAAATGAATGTACAAAAGGAGAACAACTGGTAGTCACATTTGTGGCAGGCTATATTGGTAAGGAATCTTTTAAGTCTTACACTTCATTAATGGACTACTGCAATTCTGTAAGCCTGTCCCTTTTCAGAATATCAAATAGATGTGACTGGAATAAGAGAAATTACATATAACTTTAAATGTGCAGGGAAAAAAACCCCACACTAATCTGTAAGTGGCAAATGGGTCTGTAGTAGGACAGTACTCTTAATTGTTCCTATATATTACCGATATTAATGTCCAAATATAGAAACTGCAGTTTGAAGATACTAAGAGGCTTGCCATAATTTCTGTGCAGTTTATTAGAAGGTGTTTCAGGTAGTTGTACTTCATGTACACAGTTATGGTACAGGTAAAATACCACAGAACTAATGTCAAATTATTCTTTCAGCTGGTGTGTTCTGTGCTATTGTGTCCCATCCTGCTGACTCTGTAGTGTCTGTGTTGAACAAAGAAAAGGGCAGTTCTGCTTCACAGGTTCTTCAGAGGCTTGGATTCAAAGGTACATCTTTCCTTTTGTGTATTTTGGATCAAGCATTTATGGCATGTTGTGTTTGGGGGGGGGATTTCTTTTTTTCCTGTTGTCTTACACCTCTCATGTTTTTTGTTTTGCTCTGCAGGTGTATGGAAGGGTCTGTTTGCCCGTATCATTATGATTGGTACCCTGACTGCGCTACAGTGGTTCATCTATGATTCTGTGAAGGTCTATTTCAGACTTCCTCGTCCGCCTCCACCAGAAATGCCAGAATCTCTGAAGAAGAAGCTTGGTCTAACCGAGTAGACAACTCATGGACTGACTGTACTGGCCCTCCCAGTGATGAGTTTCATGAAACTTTTATATATTTGACTATGTAGAAAACAAACTGTATATGATACTGTTATTGGCTGCGCCCTCATCCCACGTGAGGGTTTAAATTCTACCACTGTCATTGCCTGAAATAAATGAGAAAGAGAGTGCTTAGTGTCTCTTTACTACTGCATCTGTAACCTCCATTTCATAGCAGCAAATACCTCAAATACTCCTTCCCACCTCATCCCTCCCCCCCCCCCCCCCCCCCCCCAGTAATAATAAAAATAGTAATCTGCACTTCAGGAGCTAGCGAATTGTGAAACAATTGTAACAGAAATAGGTTTTCAATGTTTCTAGAGAAGTGCCGAGAACGTATCCTTGCAGACCTGCGGAAACTTAACTGCAGTTCTATGCACTTTGAGTCTAACATTGTATTTGCCTGTAATAAGCTGCTACTGTAGAACAGCTGAATGGTTGAGATGCGAATGAGTCTGACATGGCCTCCTGGTCATGTTATGGGTGTTCTCCATAGAGGTAGAAGGAACCTTGTGTGTAATAGAGCTGTTTCTGCTTTGGGGTGGTCATCCCAATATAACTAACCTAGGCTAACTTTAATTTTTGCTTCTGTTGGCTTTGAACCACACCAAAGAACTCAGTGCTTTTGGTTGTACTGTGGGTACTCCTGGAGTTTGATACATTTTTTATATATATATTTTTTCCCCTCAATTAGTTTAATATGAAGTTTTGTTTGAACAATGCCCTAATGCAGTGCAAGAAGCTATACCTTTTTTTTTTTTTTAGCTTTAACAAGAGGAAATCTAGGCTCCTAGGCATGAAGTGGAAGCACTCATGCAGTGTTCTGTTAAGGCAGTGAATTTTTTCCCAGCCTTTTTCAGAAAGGTGAGCATTCTGCCTTGTGGCTATTCAGAAACACACAGATGATATCACATTGAGAAAAATCCAGGAAATGCTTGATAATATGTAAAGGGTTCATCATAACCAGCACTACTTTGTTTGCTTAGTACAGCTGGAGCTCAAGTGTCTTTTGTGCAAAACTGTTTGGATATGCTGCCTTTCAGCATGTGAGCTGATGACACTGAACTTGGCGTTCACGTGCATTGCATTGCTGCTGTTTCTTCTGTCTTTCAGAGTCAAAAGAGCAATTAAAGCAGGTGACACTGGAGTAGCATAAGTACTGACCATTGCATCTAGCTGGAGTCTGGTGTTCCTGCTGCTATTTTACCTAATGTTGAGCTTCTTACCGTCTGGGAAAACCCTCCAGCTTCCAAGATTTTGGATGGTTAATGCTAAACAAGCAAGTTGAGCCTTAGTTTGAATTGCTGCCTTGCAAAAATACTGAAAAAAGCCTACAATTGCTCTATTTACTTGTCACCATAACACTAGACACATTATTGGAGTGGTTTGTATCTAACTGCATTGAGCAGCAAAGTCAAATCCTGTAAATTGAAATGAACCATTTGTACAAGAATTTTAGTGCTGAATTAAATGTATTTCATGTTACAAGTATGTACATCTCATAGCCCCATTGAGAGCGAGAAGCTTTGAAGTTAGGAGCATTTAATCATTTGTTACATAAAAGCTTCCTTGGAGAAGAGTGTCAACTATGACTTGACCTTGTATCAGTCAAGCCCATTGGTATTAAATCAGCTTTTGAAGTTAACTTTTGTATTTAGTTCAACTTGGTAGAAAAAACAGTACTGCTGTTGTATACTGAAAATCAGAGTTTCTTTAAAGTCGTGTTTTATCCTGGGAGGCTTTCTTTTTCTTTTTTTTTTTTTTTTTCCCCTTGGGAAACATCTCAAGTTTCTTTTAATCCTGCGAAAGTGAAGTACTTTTGTCAAATTTTAAGGCTTGCAGAGAAGCGAAATTAACTTGGCTCATGCAGTTGCGGTAGTCTGATTGTCATGTAATTCAGTGATAATCTACGTTTCTCAAGACTTGTCATTCTGGAGCGAAACTGTGCAGTTTTTCTCTAGAATTGGGTCTCTTGTGCATCCATTTTAAATACAGTAATGTGCAGTAAAGTAATTTTAGAATCTGAAATCCATTTACTCGTTGCTTGAGGGTAGACCTGAAACTATCTTTTCAAAGATGCTCAGATAATTTTATCAGGGTAAATCTGAGATAAGACTACAAGGGGCAGCTGGCTGTTCCCCTTTTCTAATGTAACTGAGAAAGGGAAAATAGTGCTACTTCTAATGCTGGGTTTCACAGAAAACACAAGAAAGAGAATTTCCTTGCAGGTGCTGACTTCATTAATGTTCAGCTATGGGCTTGTTTGGATGCTTGTGATGAAGGGGTTTAATATACACTCTATCACCAGTCAACCCACTGGTGTTTTAAATAAGCTTCAGTGGGAAAACTGCAGTATTAAAATGCATTTAAAAGGTCAACTTTATAACTGCTTTAGACAAAATGTTTGGTGTGTTTTCTGAAAGCTGGGTGGGTGGGGTGCAGGAGTGGTGGTGCTTTTGATGGATGTTGCAGGGGAAGTTCTGTATTGAGGAACACTCCATTTTGATTTTGGGAAACTCCAGACCAGTCACTACACCCCAGAGTGCTTTGTAAAACATAGCTTGTGTATATTGTTTTATGAAGGAGACAACATCAAAACATCCTTTCTTGCTGTTACTGGAGCTTTCTGGTTTAAATCATACTGCCTATATAAATGTGGAGTAACAACTCCATCCCCTGTGTCTGTATCAGGTTGTATTACAGATCAAATGTGCTGATACCTGCTGAAATGTTTGTTGCATATCATTTTTAAAACAGGCTGTAATAATACAAATAGTTGTAATTCACTTGCATTTCTACACAGAAATTATGTAGTTCGTAGTGAAAACAATAAACATCCTGCTTTTTTATAGCAAATATGACTACCTTGAGTAGCTAAGTTTAGTAGCTACATGGCCTTGTTACAGAGTATGATTTCTGTAACTCTTGAGTGATGTGGGAGGAGGATGTTGCTAGTAGAAACTTCTTGGCTGAGCTGATGTTCTGGTGTTTAAAAGTAGATCTGAATGTGTTTAGATTACTTTGCTCATGTTTTTCAGCACTGATCACCTAATTGCTGGGGTGGTTGTTTTGTTTGTTCCCCTTGTGAGTTGCTGGCAAGGCTGTTATTGGGCATTCCTATACCTGCATACCAAGTTAAAAGCAAAAAGATGTCCTGAGTATCACAACAAGTTCAGCTGTGTGGGATGAAACATTTTAAGTGTCATAGCTGTATTTTCCATTATTGCCTGAATCTCTTAATCACTTAATAAAACTGTATTTTATTAATCAATAAAATTGTGCCCCTAGAAATGAACTGAGTAAGGGGTTGCAGCTTTACTGATACTCTTCCCCACCACTGACAATACTAAACCAAGGAGGTAAGGTGAGCAGCCTGCTTTAAATGCAATAGTAAAATACTTAACACTCTGTCTCATCTTTCCTGCCATACAAAGAGCTTTGCGTTCGTCCTTAGACCTGTATAATTAAAGGCTACTCTAAAACTTATTTTTTGGTACAGTGGAGGTGTATGCTTGAAGGGCAAATGGAGTTTTGTAATACCTGTGCAGATCATGGGAAATTACTAATCACCTGCCTTCTGAGGATAGTAGTGAGGAAGAGGAATGATTTAGCTTCTGTACAATTAGGAGTCTACTAGCTGCAAGATGCTCAGGTATGACCAACTGGTGAGAAGTTACAAAAGCTGTACTGTCTGCTTGTACTTACTGATATAATTTATAGGGATTTTCTGAATTGCTGTACCTCTCTTAGTTGTTTAATTACTTTTATTCCTGTTCAGTCCACCTTTCTCCCTTTTCTCTGCTAAATCCATTCCCATTATCTCGTTACTTCAGTCTACAGCCTACTGCATTTTCAAATGTCTCGGGTCTCAAGCTCTTGCTCTTCACCACAGGAACACTGGCTGTGGCTCAGATCAGTCTAACCTTTTGGGACCTAAGTAGCTTCTCTTTGCTAGTTCTGCTGCCCGCTATAGTATTTCACAGGCTAAGAAACAGTAAATCATTAACACTATTAGGATTCCTGAACAGAATCCTTAACAGTGGGGGAAAAGCCACTGGTAGGTCTTTCAGAGCATAACCTTGCATTTTACAGGCATAACAGAGGACAACTTTTAAATTGCTGCTGCAGTCTGGTTAAGTCTTAACTCCATATGGAAACCACGTTTTTGTTCCCTCCTTTGGAGCAGGAAAGGAAAGCTGAAGATTTGTTGGTTTTGGGTCCTACTTTCTTCATGAAAGAAAGCTCTTTAAGAACAAGATTTTATGCTTTTACACTATTTTATTGTACAAAACAAGCATTTTATTAAATGTAGCACCTGACACCCTTCAGAAAGACAAATACATGTACAGAGACATGTTTTTTTTTTCTCACATTATACTTTATCCCTTGAAATCAGTACGACTTTGTCCTTTTCTGAGGAAGAGGACAAATTTCTAGTTCAGTTTTGGTGCACTTCTAGAAGCCTTTAAACACTGCCTTCTGAGTACGACACATGATGGAGCTAACACTCCTCCAACTGCTATTCTTTAGGCAGCGGCATTTCACAGTGATCGATTCATGTCTGAAATCTTGGTTATTTCATCTTTTATAACTTTGATCTCTGTTTGAACTCTTGTTAGATTGGCCAGTTTCTCATTCAGTAAAGCAATTTCCTTCTCCCGCCTTAATACATCCTCCACTAACCTTCCTATTCTCAGTGTTAGGTCATTTATGAACTGCGCCAAGATGGGAAAATCCTTTTTAAGTTTGTACATCTTGGGTTTTAAATCATTTGCAAAAGTAACTGTCTTCAGAACTTTTGCTCTGTCACCTTCAAGATTCAGAAGTCTATCTGAATGCTTGTTAAAATCACTCCTTAACTCAGACAGCGCTGTCTGAATTTGCTCAATTTTTCTTGTGTTACTGGATGCCACGCTTTGTAGTTTTGTACTTCGGTCGATGCTGCTGCTAAGCAGGTCCCCTATGTTCTTTACTGTCTTCTTTTCACCTTTTTCTACTTTATCTTCTAGTGTTTTCAAAGTTTCTGTCAGTGCAGTAGTATCTGAAACTAGGCCTGAAATGCGCCTTATGTCAGTTTTTACTGCCACAATGGTCAAAGCTAGGTTTTTTGCTACAGAAGCTGCATTCTGTT